CCTGGAGGGGTTTCCAAGCCGTGTAGATGTGGTGCTGAGGGACATGGGGCAGGGGTGGCCTGGGCAGGGCTGGGGGAGTGGTTGGACTTGATGATATTAAAAGTCTTTTCCAACGTAGATGATTCTGAGATTCTGGGATCAGGGGCCCACATGCCCGATCACTGCCTCATTGTTGTGTTGTAATAAGGATTGGAATTTGGAAGGGCAGCTAGTCCAGACCTGCCAGGAAGGAGCCATGAATATTTAGCAGCCCTGGCATAGATCTGTGACCTTCCTTCTCGCTGGAAATTATTTATCCTTCCCTTTGGTTCCTCTCCCCTTCCCTCCATGGATTCTTTGCATGTTCCTTCTCAGCTTGGCAGTGTATAAAATTTGCTTGGAGTTTTTGAGTCCTAAGTCTGGGTGTCTCTTGCCATGCAAATATGGATCAGAAAAGCCACATCTACCAGCACTGCCCCACAACTTGAGTCTCCTAGAGGATTTTTGGGGTGCTCCATCTTACCTCCTCTCAGCTCACACACCCTGTCTTGGCTACTTACCCAGGTTTAACATAAGCCAGCTGGAGGAATGGCTGTGTGGGAAGAATCTGCAGCAGAGTGGAGCAGCACAGATGTTGGAGCCCTTGATTCAGGCAGCCCAGCTCCTGCAGCTGAAGAAGAAAACCTCAGAAGATGCTGAGGCCATCTGCTCCTTGTGCACGTCGCTCACCACACAGCAGGTAGGGAGCAGGGCACAGGTTTCCACTCCAGAGACTTATGGATAATTAAAGGAGTGGGAAAGGATGGTCTCCTCATGCCAGTTCTTCATTGCCCTGACCACTGGCATTCCCATGCTGGGAATAACTTGACCTTCCCAGGACTGATGGTTGGTAGGGACTCCTGTCAGAGATGGTGACCATGGTGGCTCCTCTTTTAAGGTGCTGAAGCTCCAGAAGAAATGTTCAGAGGTGAAACCCAGCCCTGAAGAGTTCATGGCCTAAGTTAGACAAGTTGGGGTTTTAAATCCACCTGGTGTCTTTTGCCAGGGTCTAACCATCTCACAGGATGCCCACCAATGACTTTCTGGGGCAGGAGGCTGAGAACTGCCCATCTAGGCTGGCTGGATCTGGCCTTAAACTTTGGGAGTCTGTTCCAGGAGGATATAAATGTATCGGTTTTTGCTGCTGTGTTGCCTGGCCTTGATTTGATGATAATGTAGCAAGGGAGAAGTGTTCTCTAGTGGTTCTTGGAGATCCTTTCTCCTTGTATCACCACCTCCCCATCTTATACATGTGTTGAGAGAGGCCAGCAGGTGGTAGGGGAGGAGCAAGAGTGAGGGAGCAACACAAGTGTTGGGTCATAGAATCATGGAAGGGTTTGGCTTGGAAGGGACCTTAAATACCATCTAGATCCAACCCCCCTGCATGGGCAGGGACACCTCCCACCAGCCCAGGTTGCTCCAAGCCCCATCCAACCTGCCCTTCAACACTGCCAGGGATGGGGCAGCCACAGCTTCTCTGGGCAACCTGGGCCAGGGTCTCACCATCCTCACAGTGAAGATTTTCCCTTCATGTCTCACCTAAATCCTCCCCTCTTCCAATTTGAATCCATTCCCCCTTGTCAAAAGTCACAAGGTGACATCAGAAGTCCTGGGAGGTGCTCACCTATTCTGAATCTTCCCGTGTCACCATGTGCCAATCAGCTGGAGTCCCTGTAGGAATCTCTTGCTCCGTTCTATTCCCAGTGTACAGATGTGGCCACAAGAAGTGACTGAAGGGTCCATAGAGGCTCCTCATAGCTCACAGCCAGCAGAGGAGCACCTGGATGCTACTTCTGCTTCTCATTAGTGTCATGGGAGACTTTTTATGGCCATATCAACACAAGATATTGGTGGTGCTTTGTGTTCTCATGACTGTCTGTAATCCTATGTTGTCTTCACCAGATTGTGAAGATACTTAACCTCTACACTCCTGTGAATGAGTTTGAAGAACGTGTGACGGTCGCTTTCATACGAGACATACAGGTAAATTGAGGCAATTAAATGGAGGAGAGAGTGTTAATGACACCTGTAATTAATCATTACTAACTCAGGCATTTTATCTATAGCCTGGTTAGAAGTTCCTGTAAATACTTGCTCAGGGAAAAGCTGCTGCAATAGAGAACAAACCAGTTCTTGCTGCCTTTTTTTTTTTTTTGTAATCTTTATAAAACTCTGTGCTTTCTCAAACCTTTAAACGTGACAAATGCAAAGAAAAAGCAACAACTGAGCAGACTTTTTCTCCTCCCACACCTCATAGATGCACTTGCAAGAGCGAAACGACCCTCCACAGCTGCTCTTAGACTTCAAGCACACGTTCCCTGTCATGTTTCCCTTCAACCCTTCTTCCATAACCATGGACTCCATTCACCTCCCTGCTTCTCTCAACTTGGAATTTCTCAATAAAGTCTGAAGAGAATATAATTAAGCTCACCTACCCAGAGGCCTCCAGCAAAGAAAGAAAAATCACAAAAGGAACTGAAGGAGCTCTTGAAATATGGACCAAACAGGTGCCTGGAAGAACCAAGACACAGTAATAAATGGATGTTAAACTGTACAGTGAGAAAAAAAAGAGACTGATCTGTATGTGATTATTTGCAGCTCAGAAATAAGGATACTTGAAATGCAGATTTACTGGTTTGTTACTGCTTGATTTTATGTTGACATAGTTCAAAGCCCATAATCATCTCCAAAAGCCACTAGGAGGGAAGCATGGTGAGTGGAAGACAACTTGTTTGATCTTCATAGGTGTCCGTGAAGAAATGGCAGTTAAATCAAAATCTGAGACACTTATGCTGCCTTGAAGGATACGTGAGTTGTCCAACACCTCTGGGGGGGTTGTGTGGATTATTAACAGGACGTGCAGTTCTGTTCTTGCTGGAAACTGTATCAGGGTTGTGAGTTGAGAAAGGAAATTGCAGAAGGTGCAAGGATGTATTTGTCACACCTCTTGAGGTCACGGGCTTCCACGCTGCTGGTTTCCACTGGGGTGCAATTTGCCACCAATTCTGTTTGAGAAATGCTGTTGCTCTTCCCAGCTGCCTCCAGTGCATCTGCTTCCTGGGAATTCAACGAAATTGGCACTTTGGACTTGATTCTGTGACTAAATTTCCATTAGTGACTTGCCAAGTGTTGGTCCTAGTGAAATAACCTTGAGACAAGGGACTGGCTGGGGCCTCCTGCTTCCAGTGTAGGACATCCTGATCCTGTTGGCTTTCCATGAGCTTCCTCAAGGCGAAAACCTTCCTCCAGTGGCTCTCAAGGTTCTTAACCCTCTTAGGTGGCCTGGGTCAGAATCTCACTGACAGATAAGACATGTCCAGTTTAATCATCAGGTTCTGAGTTCAGTCCTTAGCCATAATCCAAGGAAAATTCAGTTCATCCAAAGTGTGACCAGGACTTAGATAAATGAAGGATACTTGAAAAAAAAGTTACAAAACAAAAGGGGATAAATAAGCAGTGAAATGTTTTCACTCAAAAAATAAGGTAGTGTGTAAGTAATACAAGTCATTTCCACAAGAGTGAACACGAACTCTTTTGTCTGCAGCAACTTAAATAATTCAAATTCTGTTAAGATTGATTTTTTTTTTTTTTAATTAAACCAAACCCACCCCTCTGGCCTCAGATGTTTGGAAGGGGCCACCTGCTCACAAGTGTGGTCATTGGTTTGTCTCCCTACTTCTCAGGACGTCCTGAATTCTCAGTTATTGCAGAGCCACTGGGGAAGGGAAAAGGTGGGTTCCTGAAGGATGTGGGACCAGGAACCTGGTGGTGATGCCTCTGCCCTAGCTCAGTTTGCCAAAATGTGGCAAGGACACCTGGCAGCAGCCAAAACTTTCTGAGGCTTTTGTCCTTTCCACTTCTAGAATGGTCTTGTCTTTTGTGGCTGTGGTTCCCCAAAGTCTCAGCAACTCCTCGATGATAAAGACCTTTCAAAAACCCAGAACAAACCACACCAAACACTTTGAACACTGGTGTCAGTCCCATCCAAACAGCAAATTTCTCATCAGACCCCTTGTCTGCTCAGGGGACTCAAGTAGAATGTGAAGTCTTTTCAGATAACACTAAATCCCACCATGCTGGAGTCACCTTTTTAGACAAGGAGTCTGTTTTAACATCATGTATATTATCAGTGTATATACAAACTGTAGGAGTCCTCTGTGTACTAAATGTGTATATTGCTATCCCCCAAAAAGCACATTTTTAAAGAAAAAGTTGAGTGCTGTGAAGAGTAATTCCACTGGTCTGTGTGGGTAGGTAAATAACCTTGTTTCAGCTGGCCCAGGGTTTGGTGGAGGTGTCACTGGAGACGGAGAGACTGAAGGTCATTCCCTAGGGAAGAAGTTCCTTTTTCCTCTTCTTAACCTTTTTTTTCCTTTTACCCATCACCCAGTAATTACAGAAGAAAATGTGGTGCTGGAACAGTGCCAGCACTACCTCCAGACACAGTCCTGGAGCATTTGCACCTAACTGGGAATATTCAGGAGTGCCTTCATCTCCCCCTTCATGCACAACAAAGGTTGTGCCACCATTTTTGCTGCCTGTGCCCAGGTTCTTCTCACTTGCTCAGCTACAACATTTGGATCTCTTGGACCTACCTCTTTTCACCTTCTGCAACTGAATGTTCTTCTTGATTATTTTCACTTTTTTTGCAATCCTCTGAATTTAGGGTGTTTTGTTTTGGTTTTTTTCATTGCATCTTAATTCTTTTTTTCCACACTCTAGTGGTCATCAAAAACCAATTTTCCAAGCAGAATTCAGCCTTGCTGTCAGGCTCAGAACTCATCTTAGACCAGCAGTTTCCTCTCAGGTTCTTCAGGTCTCTCAACCTCTTTTCTGATGGAAAGGATTCAAGGTAGAATTCCCAACAGATTGATTAAAACAGTGCTTATCATTCAGACTAAATGAATCCTCTTGCACAGCCATTTGGGTGATAAAATGTGGCGATGGTCTTTCACTGGTGTTTGCAGGATCAGAATGTCTCATGTACAACCACAAAACACTCTTCAAAACTCTTGGTGTTGATCATTGGGAACTGGGATTTACTCCTTAATCTGTGGTGATGTAGTTTAGCCACAAGCCTCCACCTGAAAGAGGATTCTATGTGAAGTATCTTTCCTATATGTTATTCTTTTCATGACATTTCTTTTTCACTGTTAATTTTGTGAAACTGCTGTGCTCAAGCATGACTTCCTTGCCTCAGATTTGGTACTGCTTGATTTAAAGTGCATTGATTTCAAGAGCATTAATTTCAAGAGCATTTCACTTCCCACAAAGCACAGCTTTGGTTTTCCAGACCTCTCTTTATCTTGAAATATTGATTATAAAGTTGAACAATTTCCCCACTCTGTGCCTTGAGCTGTTACTGAGGTAACTGACTCCTTAACTGCTTGTTTCTCTGAAACAAGTATTTAAGATGAGGGATTCTTTTTATTGCTCTTTCATAAAAAGTTGGCTGTGGGTGCATCAGATGGTAAAATCTCACTCCAAGGAGTGAGATTTGAAGTTCCTGGGGACAAAAAAAAACACTGACCCACAGTGATTTTTGTATATATAAGGCATCTCAGAAAAGCACTCTTGGGAAGAAATAATGAAAAAAAAAAATATTAAAAATGAAACCCCTAAAAAATTAAATCCCACAAATCACCCCCACTGCAAAGCCAGCACTTCAGAGGTGACTTCAAGCTAGTGCTGTCTGACCTACAAGAAGCATCCAGGACAAGGTGCATGCTCTATGTTCACCCCAAATTTTGCTTTGATGGTCTTTTTTTCTCTGTCTTTCATTGGCATTTTGCATCTGAGGGTGCTTATCTTGCAGCTGGCTGAGCTGTTGTAGCAGGTAGAAAAGAACACGAGACCCCAGTTTCTGCAGTCCTACCTGAGAAATAATTTTGCTCCTCCAACTTGCCCCACTGTCTTCTCCCAACTCCCTGTTTTACTCCACCACTTCCTGTGAGTAAACCAGGAATAAAATGTGGGCACGTTGCAGAGTTTCAGCTCTCTCAGTGCCTGCTTTTCC